GGGTTACCAGATAGCCTCTGCAGTTCACCACTTCCAGCCCTGGGTGTGGGGTTCTATGGTGAACATTCCCCATGCTCATCTGTGTATGTGAGGGGAGGGCTGATGAATGACGCTCTGCCCTAAAGCTTCCTGGGAACATGATTTGCATTTTAGCAGCATGTGTGTTCGCAGGATTAGGGAACACTCCTGTCATCTTTCCCCTGCTCAACTCTCTCTTCTGGGGAGCCCTCTGGGTAAGTCTCACCCCCTCTAGTTAGGACATGACTCATCTGTCCACTTGTCCATCTCTCCATGGGCATCTCTCTCTGTGCAGGGTGACTGTCTCCATGCCCACAGCCTCTCCCCTCTTCTCTGACCTCCTCTACTGTCCTACCCATCAATCTACCTTCCCTGCTGTCTGCTTTAGCATCCTCTCTGCTTAAAACCTACCTAAGGCCCAGCCTTTCTGACTTGAAATGCCTCCCCTTCACCATAGCCTGGTCAAAGTCTCCCTTTCTTTAAGGCCCAATTGAAAGGCCTCCTCCTCCAGGAAGCCTTCTTTGATTAATCCCCCCAGGGCCTTTCTTCTGCCTCTGCTTCTCTCTGTGAGCCCTGAGTACACTACATCCTGTCACCTCCACAGATTGGAGGCTCCTGCAGGGCATGGACCATGAGTAATTCATCTTTTGCCACCACTTGCACGCAGCATAGGACCTGGCACATAGTAGGTCCTCAGTGAAAGGCCTGCATGATGCTGATGATAACTATGGCGTGAGGTAGCAAGGGGCAGACAAAGAATGAGAGGAAGCTTTCCCAGTTCTCATGGTTCTGCCGTGGATGGAGTGGCTCTGACTGTCAACCCTTCCGATCCCCCGCTTCCGCGTTATCAATGGGGATTTTTGCACTACTTCCTGGGGTGGTTGGAGGTAAATCAAATAATATTAGCAGAGCCCCTAGCACAGGGCCTGGCACATAAAGGACTCCCTAGATTATGATTCCTGAAGAAAATACTTGCAAACCTGTTCCTTATAGATGTGATAATGTGCTTGAGTCCGTCAGTGGGAATACCATCAAGACATCAATTTATTCACTGAGGGCCCCCCTGGAGCCATTGCCCATCAGTTGTTTAGGAAGTGTTAGGAGCCTCCCATGGAAGCTTGGCCTCACACTAAGTACACCCCTGGGCCCCTCTGAAACATACTGAGCAACAATAAAACTGGGTAATTGTGATTAATTATTATCACAATTAATAAATGTGTGAGGGCTTCCCTGGTGGCGCAGTGCTTGAGAGTCCGCCTGCCGATGCAGGAGACGCGGGTTCGTGCCCCGTTTCGGGAAGATCCCACATGCCGCGGAGCGGCTGGGCCCGTGAGCCATGGCCACTGAGCCTGCGCGTCCGGAGCCTGTGCTCCGCAAATGGGAGAGGCCACAACAGTGAGAGGCCCGCATAACGCAAGAAAAAAAATAAATAAATAAATAAATAAATAAATAAATAAATAAATAAATGTGTGAGTTCTGATGAACTTAAACTGGTGAATTTCCTGAGAGCTTACCATGTACCAGGCAGAGTCTTTTTCTTTTTTTTTCTTTTTTTCATTTGGCCGTGCTGCGCGGCTTGCGGATCTTAGTTCCCCGACTAGGGATCGAACCCAGGCCCCAGCAGTGAAAGCGCCGAGTCCTAACCACTGGACCGCCAGGGATTCCCAAGGCAGAGTCTTAAGCACTTTATGTGTATGAACTCATTTAATCCTCATACCCACCCTATGAGATTCTACTACTGTTGCCATTTTGTAGATGAAGAAACTGAGGCACAGAGAGCTGAGGTCACTTGCCCCAGATCACACAGCAGTAAGTGCTGTAGCAGGGATTCAAACCCAGGAAGCCAGACCAGCCTGCCTAACCTCTTCCACACTGTGCAGCCTACTGCTGCCTCCCATGTCCACCTGGGCCGTGGGGAGGGTCTCCTGAGGCCATGACTCTGATGCTGTTCTGGGGACAGCTGGCTCCCTGTGAGCCCTAGAGGTCACAACAATAGCCCTACAGCCTCTCCCATCCTGGCAACTGAGGTCCCCCATCCACCTGACTCTGCCTTATGGGTCCCACAGTCCCATCCACTCCGTCTGCCCCAGGGCGGCCCCTCAGAGCCTCGGAGGTGGCGTCTCTCCAGGCTGAGCAGCTGCCTGGGGTCTACAAGGAGGGCAGGTGTATCTCCTCTGATTTAGAGCCTGCACCCCCGTAAATCAGAGGCCTGTCCCTGGCTGACTGCTGGCCTAATGGGCTGAAAGGCAGCAGTGGCCTCCTAATTATAAATGTCCCTGCCCTGACAGGGCTTTTAGCAGCCCGGTCAATAGCCCATCAGACTGGCTAATGTCTGTTAATGTCAGTCCTCCACACAAACCCTTTTAGACACAGAGCCTGCCAGCCTCTGGGGAGGAGCAGCCATCCCTTGCTTGCTGAGAAGGAAGAGAAGCTGTGTGGGTCTGGGGCCTCTGCTCTTAGAGGCCTGGGAGGAGCGCCCATCAGAGCCAGGCGTGGCTCTCAGGCACCTCCAGGTCTGAGGCAGACAATGTACAGAGGCTCTCTTCCCTGCCCAGGAGCTCATTTTCTCTATCCATGGAGGAGCCAGACCCATCTGAAAGAAATGGAACTTTTGCTCACCTCCTCACACATCATTATCAAATGACACAAGTCCAAAGTCTTTCCTTTATTTTCTCTCTCTCTCTCTCTCTCTCTCTGAATGTGTATGTGAAAGTATTCTTTTTTCTGAACCCTTTGAGGATAAGTTACATACATCTTTGCTCTTTATCCCTAAATACTTGTGTGTTTCCTAAAAATAGGAATATTCTCTTACGTAACTGCAGTACCTTGTCAAATTCACTCAGTTTAACTTTGCAACAATACTTTAATCTACCATTCACATTCCAGTTTGTCAAATAATGTGATTTATAGCGTTCCCCCTCCAGGAAGGGATCCAGTCTAGGGTGAGGTTTCTGAGACCCTTTCCCGAGGGCCAAGATCGGAATTGGGCAGAGTACTTCTGAAGGGGAGCCCTGGACCACAGCCTGTTTGCAGAGATACTAAGATGCATGCATAAAACCGCCATGAACCAGAGTCTCGGTTGTCTGTCCCCTAGTTTACCAGGGGTGAACAGGGGTGTCCTGTGTCTGTTCTCACAGCAGCTCCCTGCTTTGCTGCCCTAGTAAGCAAGGCCAGGGACCGTCACTGGTCTTTGCTTCATCTCCCTTGGGCACGGTCTCAGGACGTCCCACAAGAGTGCAGTGGTCTCTGCAGAGTTGGGGAGGTGAGGGAATGAGAGACCGTGGGTATTCCCTGAGCTCACTCTGTTCTTCAAAATTAATTTTGAAATATCATGAGACAGTTAGTTCTGTGAAGTCAAGTACTACGTCTTATATTCACCCAGCACCTCGCATAGGGCCCGTCCCCTAGGTTCCTCGTAAAGATGTGGTGAATGGGTGGGTGTTGGCCAATTTTCTTCTCCACTTTCTCCCTCACTTAGATATAAAAGTGGAGCCTTCCGGTGGGTGGGCTCTAGAACCTGAGGCTGGCTAGTGGATGTGGTGGTGCCTGCGTCGGCAGGCAGAGGGCCTGGTCCTGGTCCCTGTACTGCCAGGGCCATGCAGCGTGGTGTGTAAAATGAGTGTGTTGGTCCCTGCCAGCTGCTGGTTTCTGTGGATGAACTGATGTAGTTGTCCCATGGCCCAGGAAGTCTCAGCTTCAGGGCTGTGTAGCCTGAGCTGTGAAAACTGTGTGTCCTCCTATCACCTAGACAGGAATTCTCAGCAGGA